TAATAATAAATAAACAAGCTCAAGATAAGGTACAAAGCTTAATATACCCAGTGTAAAATTCAATGATTAGTGTACAACTCATAAGGAGAAGATTATAAACGTTTTTAAAAAACATAAAAGCATCAACATGAAATTATCTAGTCCTTCTCCAGACTTCGTTTGCCTAAACATTCGCATAGGGTATGCGGGAGTCGTGCATGCAGCGCCTGGCAATGCCAATGCCTATGCCTCACTCATGCGGCATTATGACAGGCGAATGTGTAACACAATTAAGGCGAACCAAATGGAGCATAGTCGAACAGGAGAGTAAATGCATGGGAGGAAAGGGAGTGAGAGTGTGTGGGGGAAGAGTGGGCTAAATGGGGTTGCATCGGTTGTGTTGGTGCTGTGTGGTGTGGTGTAAATTATATTTGGGCTTAATGCGATTGGAATGCAGTGGGCTGACTGGCTGACGGGCTGAAAGCTGGTCAGACACGCCCAAACCTCAAATGCAGTGTCAAATTAATCAATTTCGCATATACCGCTACAATCGGAAGACGGTCTGGTGTCGACCCCAATAAAATGCAGTCAAAAACTTGCTCAGCAGTTTGACTTTCACATAGAGGTTAAAAACTAACATCAGCAGCACTAGCAGCAGCAGCAACAGCAACAAGAAGCGGCAGTCGGTGCAAGACAGCGAGCAGGCAGGAAGAGGAGCAACAACAACGGACAAAATGTGCAGTCAACAATGCTCACATACACGCACACACACACACGCACACATGCATGCAGACGAGTACTCACTCACTCACTCGCTCACTCTGGCACACACATACGCACACAGCGACACAATAGTTTGCGAGGAGCTTTGGCGTCGCTGCTGCCGCTGCTGTTGCTGCTGCGCCGTTGCTGCGCTGCTACTGCTGCTGCTCCTGTTGTTGTTCAGCTGAGTGAGTGATAAGTTCAGTTGGCGTTTGGCAGGCGCCCTGAACGGTTTGAAGTGTGTTCGCATTAAGCTCTCGGCGAATTCGGCAAAAGACAGCTCAAAGCGAAAGCGAATTGCGATCTAGTTTATTATTGTTATATTTTTTGCTCTTTTTTTTCGGTGCGTGCGAGGGTGTGTAAGTGTGTAGTAGTACGCCTGTGTGAACGTGTATGTGTGCGTGTGTGTGTGTGTGTGTATGTGTGCGTGTTATTGTACTTAGCAAACGCGCGCCAATTCAAACAAATTTCGTGGTGTTTGTCTTGCCGTTACTTCAGCTATCGTTGCTGCTGTGCCGCAAAGCATGCAGTTAAATTCTCAGCTGTTTGGGTAAGTGCCTAATGCTGTTGTTGTTCTTATTGCTGCCTCTGTTACTGTTGCTGTTGCTGTTGCTGTAAATAGCTATCGCTTAAAGGCCCGCCTGATTTATGATGAATATCTGGCAAATATATGCTTGTCTGCGTGCGTGTGTGCGTGTGTCTTGTTGTTATTCCTTGTTGTTCTTTGCTGTTGTTATTTGTTTGTTGCCTTAGTTTTTAGTGAGTGCTTTCCATTATGTAAGTAGAATCGCCGCTGGCTCTGTTACCAGGCAGCCATTCCGTTAGCGGCATAAATAATGTATTTCCTTTTAGTGTCGCTCATGTGCCCAATTTGAATTCATTTACAATTTCCAATTGGACAACACATGCTATGAAAGTCTCAGCAAAAGCAATGCAAAGTTTAATGTGGCGTACTTAAAAGAATCAAGAAAATATGTGAACAGAGCCCGACTGATCTGTAATGACGCCATTTAAAAGTCTTACGATATTGGCAATCATCGTAAGAAAAACGATATTTGTATAGCATACTTATATGGGCAAATAAGAGATTATTATATATATTTATACATTATTTTATTTTAGATACATTATTTAATTGTTATATTATTATTGTT